AGAGATCCTTTTCTGTTGCAGTGAGAGACCAAGCTCAGAAGCATCCTTCCATGAAAGCACTAGGTGAGGGCAAAGGATGTCCTTGTCTAGAATAAAATAAAAAAAATAACCCACTTCCAGAGTATACTCTCAATGTGTAAGCATGTGGATAATGCTTGCCATGTAAAGAGTGTACACAAGACACTAGGGACTAACTATATTTGATAGCATTTATGAGAAATGTAGCCCATCAAGTGAAAAAGATTTAAGTGGATGAATAGGATTATTGGGGTCTGGATATGTATTATCCCAGATGTTGCCGATAAAGAAATTTCCTGGAAAAAGTAAGTGTGTTTCAAGTCTCTATTTCAAATATTCCTCATACATGGAAGAAGCCAGCCTCTCTGTTTTGCTGTTTGAAGTCCAGTGGGTTGTACAGGCAGGTGGAGGTGGACAGAAGTGTCACTGAGGGCCTGTGCTGCAGAACGGAGATGTTGGTAAAGACAGAAGAGACAGGGAGTACTTACTGTGAGTGCAAGTTCTGTAACGAGTGAATACCATACTTTGGGTTTGTGATGATAGAAAATAGGACAATGTCCTATTAGACAAAGGCAAGCTATGTTTTCTGAGATGTTGTTAATCTTTGTACTTAGCACCAAATAGGTTAAATTTTAGGTCCCAAATCGATGGGGTCTAAACAGAACACCAGTATAAATTAGATCTTGACTGAATTGGTCTATAAGGAAAAACAGACTTTCTTCAAATAGATGCTTAGACACAGGAGTGTCAGTATTGAACTAGACAGATCGTTCCCTCAGAATGAAGGAGTAGAAATAAAATTGAATGTTTTTGGTATCTAAATCCCCAGCAGATCCCTCATGATGGTTAGTGTGACAATTTAATACACAGCTATTTCGCTTTCCAAACACATTTAGAAATCTGAGCATGTGGTAAATCCTATCAAGACCTTAAAACGGGAAGAAAAAAGTAAAAGGAATCGTAAAAAAAAGTCTAGTAAGGGAAGCACTTTAAATTTTATATCAGATGCAAGTTTGAGGAGAAGGTGCCTATGTGTTCAAAACATGTTTTGGAAGTTGTTTACTGTGTTGAGAAGTTTGAGCTTTAGTCTTAGTATCCAAGGAATGATGTGTTTAACCTACAGCAAATCGAAGGTAAACTGATCTTCTGCATTGCCATCGTTAACGACAATCAGTCTGACCTGGACCGATGAGAGAATACTGAAATCATCAAAAGCAGTCAATAAACGAGGCGGGGACTGGGAGACGTCAACATGCAACAGTGCTTTATCAGCATAAAGTGATATGCGATGCTGAAATCTCATAACAGAAATCAGGATAAAAATAGTAGACTGGGAGACAGCTTGTGGTTCCAAAGACAGCCCAAACCAGCAAAGGTGAAAGAGGACATACCCAATGACAGCCCCTAGAAATAGCACACTGGGAGGAGTACTTTCTAGCTGTTAATATGATTACTAAAGGGTCAGCACAGACGTTTTTGACCATAATAAAAAAACACGAACCCAAGCCTGTATCATCTAAAACCATACCAAGACAAAGATATTCCCACTGAAAAACCTTTTAAACCTCTGATGAAAGAACGGCACAACAGAGCCCATGTCTGTGGTTGCATGGATGATGTGAAGGAGTTGAGGAATGTTATCGGACACAAGACACCCTTTAATAAAGCATGTCTGATTGCCGAGTATGACCACACCGAAGCGTACAGCCTGGCATCAGAGAAAAATCAAAGATAAACTGCACAAAGATTAGGTTGTGTGTTTTTGCTTTTTCAATAATAGCGATAAGTTTCTGAAAGTAGCTTATTCTTTGGCAGAACAGTTAAATAGATGGTATAGGTGTACCAATTTGTCAAACTGGAGATGGTCGAGACTAGGCCTTCATGTCCTTCTTTTTTGATTTGCCAAGTGTAGGGAAAGAAATAATTCCTCAAGCATTACATAAAGGATGCTTTTGTCTGAGGGATGTTCCGTGAGGGTCAGGTCTTCACTGGCTTGATGCGTTATCGACAAATCATGTGATGGAATTTTCATTTACGGTAGAGGGAACAACTTTAATATAATCTCCAAGTTGGTGACGTTCGGCACATTTTTTTGTGTTCGATTTCTACAGTATATTGCTTTTTATTTCTTTATCTGATTCTGTGCGGACCTTGCAATACTGCAGAATTGCTGCACCAAAAAAAGAATGTAATGACTTAGAGATTGGCTGTGATGGGTTAGTGTGATTCTTCATACAGCAAGAAAAGACTCGCTGAAGCAAGTTTTGACTCAGAGCTTAAATGTCAATGGGGCTGAGTGCTCCTGCCCCAAGGCAGAGTGCCTGTCTAAATGCGGTGAAAGCCATCACATTTTGCACGCAGAGAATAAGCAGAGATTATGGGTCAGGTTTAGAAAAAGGATGAGCTCTGCGCTTTCACTCTAATATTTCTGAAGCTAAGCTTGTGAATCTTGGGCCTCAGAACTTTTAAGGGAATTTGATGTGTAAGTCTCTTGAGGCTTTTGCAGTTATTACCATCAGCAGTAACCTTTCAGATATATTAGTAATAGCTAATCCTGATTATATTGGCTTGACTGAGTTTGTTAAATGGGGTTGTCTATAGCTGAATCCCATTGCCAGTGTTTTAATTGTGCAAAGAAATGTTTAATTGTGTGCACATGGAAATGGTTTATGCAACATTGTTTAAAAAAATGCTAAATGAAATTGTGTACTGGTCTCAATGATTGGACGAAAGAAGATTGAATGGCAGCATTTTCATTTTTCCCTATTTATTCTTTCATCTTTCAAGATAAAAAATGGCCACAAACAAGAGACAGGCAGGAGAGTGAGAAGGCAGAGTAGACGTTTTTTAAAACTGTCAGCTTTCGACGATGGATTTTGAAGTCACTAAATATTTTTTTCCATAGACAATCAGTGAAGTATTTACTTGTCCTCTATTTGTCATCGAAAACGTAAAATAATGTGACGTTTGAAGCAGTTTATGAATTGCTTCCCCTGCTGAAGAGTGCGCCAGTAAGCCAAAATAAAGGGATCGGGGCTGCTGGTCATTGATAATGTAATAGAGACATTTTATGCTTTCAGTCTTCATTAACCTTTTCAGGGACTCTTGATATTTATAAGACATTGCTATAGACGAGGGATTTGATTTGAAAAAGAGCCTTGTTCTCAAATGCTTGATCAATTGGTCACTGACACAGAACAGAAATTGCTTTCATTATCTATTTCCATGTATATACAGGTGTTTGACACCAGAACAGTTGATACAATGAATATACTGTATATATATATTCATTATATAGGGTTTGAATGGGCTTGTCACCTTTGAACAGTGCTGTGGTAACCAATATTATTTTGGGCAAACTTGATTTATATATGCATGTTTGGATGCAATTAATACTCCTGAGATCTCGTATAAAGTTAATTGGCAAGAGATGTCTGAGTGACTGCTAGAAGTTTCTTATTCTGGATTTCAAATTGCCAAATATTTTATTGTTTTTGCACCCTCCAATTAGTAACTTTCAGCCCAGTCTGCTTACCACCACATCTCTTATCCAGATGGCACACTTATACATATACACTTATACATTATACTTATACAATATACATGTGTGTTTTTAAACAGCAGAGCCTCTCATTCCTTGCTATGGCATGAGAGACAGAGAGGTGGCTGTGTCTTGCTGAGGAAGACACTGCAGAGGATGGTAGCAGTAGTTCTTTCCAATAAAGAGTGTCAGACTTCGCAGTAAATGCCCTGATCATGTTCATCTGAATATTGTACTACTGAGCAACAAAGTCTTGTTGCCCCTCCTTTGCCCATCCATATCTTTGCTTACCAAATTTACATCAACAGCACTATTTAAATACTTCTGATTTTACTATGATGACTTCATCTTGGAAATAATTTATTTGTACTTTGACTTCCTTGATAGTACAAGCAGACTGACTATTTCCCCAGATGCGAAGGACCATGATCTTGGCTAGGGTAGTGTGTGAGAAATCCCATTATGGCTCAGTGAATCTGTTTCATACCATGCGTCTTATTTTGTGACATTTATTGTAGCCTAATTTGTCAGGCATTCCCCTGCCTAATCAAAGATGCGGAGTGAAAGGTTGTGCTGAAGCCAACTTCTCGTGTTCTTGTTCTTTGTTTTAATGTTTTGTTGAGGTGTTGGTGCTTTATTTTTTCACTTGAGTACACTTGAAGTGAAGTAAGTTCTCTCACTTTATTATTTTTTAAATTACTTTCAACTTGCTCCCAGAGAAAAAGAGAGAGGAAAAATACTGTTTGAGCTTTCATAGATTTTTTCCTGTTGTTGTATTTTGTAGAAAGAAAGCTGAAGCAAAGAACAAGTGTTTTTGTACATTTCAAAGAGTATTTATTTCTTCTTCTATCAGACCTCTTCTTGAGACAAAGATGTGTGCGATAAGTGAAGGTATTTTAGTTAGGCTCTGATTGTGTCATTGTCTTAGTGCCTTTAACTTCCAGAAAAAAAACCTTTAGAGAAGAATGTTTATCTTACTATCAAACTCTCTTAGAACCAAGAATTAGAGTCTTGGGCTCATGAGGTGTCAGTAACCCTGTAAAACTGTAACTGTAACTGTAACCCTGTAACTGTACGTACAGTACTATTAAAACCTGTACAGATTCTACAGTCATATTCCTAAATACTGTACTAATTTTCCACAGGTGCATTAGAAGATGAAACAATTCTAGCAAAATAAAAAAATTAAGGTACTAGCCAATAACTCTTTTTCAGTCTTAACTCTTAATGGGTTTTGAATTCCCAAGCTTGGAAAGTGTTTCTGTAAAGCCTAATTTTTCAGTTACTTTTATCGGATTAATTCTTTATTCTTTGCATTAAACATACTCTTGCTTTTTGGCTTCTAGGTGTTTCAGTTCACAAGCGTTTGATCTTCTTGATGGATTTCATGAAGAAACCACTGACGCGTACCAGAAATGAACTCTTGCTCGTTTGTTTTCAGGGACATGCTGATCACAGACCTGGATACCTCAATGACCTACACTGAGCTGTGTGATGAGGTCAGAGACATGTGCAACCTGCTTCAGCAGCAGCCAATCACTCTCAAGTGGATCGATGATGAAGGTCTGTGGCTTTCTCTTGGTATTATTCTGACAAAGTGGGCTTGGAGAGACGTGACGTGAGGCTTTCTGCCTGATTACTCGGAGGTCATAATGTAATGTTTCCTTGCAAAGAACATTTGTGTTCACCTCAGTGATCAGAGCAATCCAATGGCCATACTGGGATAAAGCCACCTGTTCTGTTGGTGAGGCTTTTGCCTACCTGTGAAATTCCATAATCTTACTAGTAATTATTTTGCCACTATATCTGTGTAAACATGCCACAAAACACTGTTTTTTAAAATTATAGCCTAATTCTGAAAATAATCGTGAAATGCTTTTCAAAAACAAAATAGAACAGCCATTTGAAAAAAAAAACACCTTGAAGAAAGGAGAGCTACCACATTACAGGAAAAAAACTCTTAGGTATAGAAAAGGCAGCTGACATTGCTGTCACAGTTTTCTCCCGTGAATGGCTGTTGACAGGAAACATTCTAACATCATTCATCCGAGAAATGTTTTTCCCCAGTTGTTTCATACAGAGGGAAGTTCTATTTTTATATTCTGTTTAATAAGAGTTTTAAAATATTTTTTTAAAAACTGTTTAATACGGCATGTGAATACTATTTGTATGTCATATCACATTGTGGTGTGCAGTAGCTGTTTACTTTAAGGCATACCTGCAAATTCAGGGCAAATACAAAAAATTGCCTTTCAGAGGTGTTTCAGTCCCATCCCTTTCTTGCTACACAAGCCAGTCAAACTGTCAGTGAATTTTTAATAACAGCAGCAGGATGTCTGGATAGACACAGCACTGCGGAGTAATAATTCTTCCTGAAAAAAGAAACTTTGAACCTCAGGTTTTGATTACACATATACAGTATAAAATATAAGTTTGGCAGCAAATGTGATTCTAAATTTTGATAGCAGACATAGCTGTGATTAAATCGTATTGATTTGGAGCTTGAATAACATTAACACAAATCCATGAAATACACATACTGAGCTGCTGCATATTCTGAGTTTTCATGTGATACGATCTATCTTCAGTGTACAAAAGAAAAACCTTGGAAGTATTCATCTGAGCCTGGAGTCTTCAGGAGGGGATTTGAGATGGGTTTCCTTTTTTTCCAGTTTCTTCTCTATGACGTGTTCATGCATCTTTTATGAAATCCACCAAAGCATGGTTGCCAACCCCCTTGCTCCCTGCATATGTACAGTATGTACTTACATAGCTGTCAGGTGTGTCAGGTTGCTTGCAGAAATGCTCGCAAACAGGTTCCTGCACATCTTGCGGAGTTTTGCTACAGCAATGAATTGGTTCACCCCAGAGGCCAGCCTCTGTTGCTCGCACAGTAACACTAAAATCTGCTCATATACTGTAGGTGTTGTCTAGGTTCTCATCACAAATAAAAAGAATACCAGCATTTTTTAAAGCTACAAAACATTTTTTGTATAAGTGACAGAAGTGGCAAAATGTTTAAAAGCAATTTAAGATGTGGGATTATACTCTTTCAACTAAATGTTCCGAACATCCTCCCATCATCCTCAAGTACTCCACATACATGAATGCGGTTCAGAACGTGGATCATGTGTAGCTGGTAGGGACTGGGCACGAGGCAGGCCTACATCTTAGATGGGGCAGGCGTTCATCACAGGGTTCACATACGTACATACAGCACAATGTAGTCCAATGTAGGGATGGCTTGATGAACAGTATGGAGAATGGAAGGAAACTTGGGACACCCCCCCAAAAAACCCACATGGATATAAATATGGGAGAACATGTATACTCCATCCAGAAAACATCCGCTTTTCCAGTTCATCACATCCAGTTGAGTGTAGAAATACTGTAGCATGGCAACAATGACATCCACTTGTCTCCTTTTCTTTTCCACAGGTTACAGAAGGTCTATTGTCTTTCATAATAAATGCAGATAGGTCAAGATGTCTCCCCTATCTCTGCGCCTCTGTCTGGTCTGCTGAGATATTAATATTATATGCGAACAGGGTTTATTTGTATCAGTGAACTAGTTAATACCTTTGTTTGTGTTTTGACTTGTCACTGGCATACCAATTGAGTCTCAGAGCAGTCAAATGAAAAAAAAATAATCGCTGGATTCATGTCTGTTTTCCTGTCAAAAATAAAGTAATGAGAATGAGACATTAAATTGGAATTAATTTGAATTCAAAATGTAAAATGTGTTACGCATAACGGACTCCACTTTGTTTTTGTAATTTGCTGAATTTAATGGCTTTTTTTAATCATGCGGATAGCTCAGTAAAGTCTTGTTTCCACGTTTGCAGTCTCTTACGTAGTGCTTGCTTCAGTTTCCAGGTTCTTTCTGAGTGGAGGGTTGAATCCCTTGGAGAAAAGTTTACCCTTACAGCTGTGTTCTGGTCATCAGAGCAGAAAACCGCAGGACAGTGCTGTGGAGACGAAATTATAACATGCAGAAGACACGTTTCAGTTCGGTTTCAGACACAAACAGAAATACAATACAGTCTAGCTCACTGCACAGTTTTCTCTTTCTCAGTTTCCCTCTTTTGCCTGTCCTGTAGGTGATCCCTGTACCATCTCATCCCAGATGGAACTGGAAGAAGCGTTTCGTTTGTACAGCCGGAACAGAAAGGAAGGCCTACTTGTCCACGGTACCGCTCCCTCTTCTCCCTCGCCCTCGCTTTGGAGCTTTAAAAGCAGCTTTGCAGAGTGTGCTGAGGACATTGTTTTTAGTCAAGGAGCTTCAAACCTACTTTTGCAGCTGATGTCTAATAATGTAACTCATGCTGCAGCAGACTCAGGTGCTTGCCTGGCCAGCCACTATTTCAAACCCGCTCACGGCAGCCCGAGGTTCAAGCACGGAACAGAAGAAATGACTCACTGTTGTTGTTTCTTCTTCTTTTTTTTTCTTTGTGTTTTCCGGAGAGCAGAAAAGGCAGTTTACCTGTTAGTCTTACAGCATTTATTACCCTGACAAATCATTACATAATAGCACTCACCATAATAATGCCAGGAACAATAATAACTGTTTAATTTCAGCTTTGCAAGTTAAAGGGAAGCATCATCTTCACACTTTTGTTCCACAGAAGCATTTCTAAAAACAACAGGTAATCCTGTGTTCCCTGAGTGGGTATGAAAGTTGCTTTTCTGCACACAGTGCTTTTGAGGCCAACACAGCAAACAGAGCTTCTGTAGAATGATGATGAGATTAGAAGCCACTGGGGTCTCGGCACATCCAATAAGCTCTCCATTAGCATTCTCTTGAGGTAGTGGCACTCCTTGAGCAGCTCGAGCCTGGACAAAGCATGGCATCACTTAGGTAGACGAGTAGTTATTGGAGAGACTTCAAAAAAAAAAACATAAGCCGTCTTTCCAGAACAGCTATCAATGTAGTTATGCTGTGCATTCTCATTTTTGCTGACTTATGTAGGGAACATGTCCTAAATTCAATGAGCAGCGTGGTTCATTGAAAGAAGGAAATTGAATAACAATTTAATATATATTTGACCTTTTCCTCTATGATCCTTCCCCATAATTTAATTAGCTTAAGCTATAGCAAGGGAAGTAATATGACAGCCAGGCCACTGGAATTTCAGGTTTCACTTCCTACTCTCTAAGCTCCACTTACAGCTCATTTTATGAAGATCATTGTAGGGTTTGTCTCTGTTTAAACACTTACATAGTCATGTTGGTGACCTGTGTCCTGGGCAAGGAGCTCTTGATTTACATAGAATTGGGAAAACAATAATTTCACACAAACTGTTGCTTTTGATATGATATTTCCTCAGTGGACATCATGAGTGGTTCATTCTCCTGCAGTCCTCACAGAAATCTTAACTGCTTGTTGTCTGACCATCTGTCTGTGCCTGGTCAAGACTCATCTGTTGGACAGCACCTGTAAACTTTAATCGTAATCACATTCTTAAGTCACTCATGGTCCATAATGCACCAACTCTCAAACGCACAACATGATTTTCTTTATCATTTGAACAACAGTCTTCATGTCATCAGGTTGTCTTCATTACTACTTGGTATCCATTCTGTTTCATTCTGCTCCTTGGACTTCCAGCTTGTCCAGGTCATTCTATCATTTTTTGTCTCATCCTTTTTTCATATAAATCTTCCTTGAACTTGCCAATGTTCTTACCTGTACTTACCTACGCAAATGTATTGGTAGTGTTGCTAGTTGTTCAGGAAAAGAATGTATGCTAAACATGATAAAAAATCATCTGTTCTTTATTATAATTTAAATCTGTTCATTATAACATTTTCCTGTCTTGGGGCCATATTCTGGAGGCTATGGCTATCATTTGGTATTGGACAAAGTAGTTATTAAAAATGGATTAATGATGATGCTGATAATTTGAAGCACAAAAAATATTTTTCATATAGTTTTCCTGATACATTAAGGATATGTGTACAGTGATGTTTGTTCTTGATGGTGTGGTATGGGTCATAGTGTAATTTTGTTAATGGTTTCTGTTCTGAATTTGCTCTGTTCCAGTATTCCCCAGCATTCCAGAAAAACCAGGCATGCCCTGTCCCGGAGAAGACAGTGAGTATTGGGTATCCCAAAGTCCATTACCTCTCATTAGGCACTGCTGTGCTACTCTCACTGCTTGTGTGTATTGCATTATAATGCCTTTCAGAGGGAAAGCAGTACATCTGTTGCTAATTTAATCATACTGTGGTGCAAACATTTCATTATTGTTATAAAGAGGCAATTGTATTCCCAAGTCCATGCAGACAGATTTCAGTGCCATCTCCGGGCAGACGCACTGTTGTGGTCGTCAGCTTCTGGAACACAATGCCCTGAAAAGACATGCTCATTGAGATGTAACCTCTACAGAGTGTGTGTATATGCATTTGTACCTGTCTGTTACCTTAGATATAAATGATAAAGGTATAATTTATACTGAATTAACTGCTACACTGGTTTGGACAGCACCAGTCATTCATACATGGTTGACTGCTTAATCCCATCAATAAGTTTGTTTTAACAGTTAGCACAAAGAACAGCTCCTGGCAGAAGTGTGAACCCTAGCTGTAACCTGTGTCTGCTTACGGTGTGCTTCACTCCCAAACTGTTGGTCTGACAAAGCAAATCGTCTTGACAGAGGAAGATGTTGTTCTGTCGGGTCCCTCTGGTTCAAATGGCAATAACACAGAGCACAGACCAGAAGAGGCCTCCAGCAGCCCAGGTGTGATTCTGTAGCGGCCCAGGCAGCTGGTGAAATCATGAACTCACTTTACAAGAGTTCAGTCTTTAAAATCCAGAGATCTGCACCTGGAAAAGCAATGGTGTTGATAAGCAGTGGAAAAAAGTGATTTGTTTTCCAATGATTGGTTGACACAGTGGGCTGTTTCTGCCCTTGCTAGATTATCGAAGGGATGTGGGAAATTTCTGATGCTGCAGATTTTCTCAGGTGGCAGCAGCTGTAACCTTACAGTGGGCCATATCTGTCTGTCGTCATTATAGTGTCCGTGACAGGGAAGGTATGGTGGGTCAAGCTTGCAAAACAGGACTGGTGTTAGTGCTGAGGTCCCAGCCTTGTCAGGGGCTGTTTGCACGGAAAGGTTTTATATTTCACATTAACCTGGAACCAGTAAAGTTACATTACAAAAAAAACCACTGAAGACATCTCCCAAATACTTGCAAAAAAAAGGAAGACTGGAAACGTGTTGTGAGTTCTGTCCTTATTATTTTTCTTTAATGTTTTTAGTAGAAACGTAGGATTTTTGACTAGGGACCGGGTAACATCTGAAATATTTTTGTCTTTTTGGATTAAAACATTTTGTTTGTGACTAGCTGTATGGATCCCTGCTGTAAGAAACTCTTTGTTTGACAGATCTAAGTAAAAAAGATGTCCACCCTTGGAGTTGTTTTGGCAAAATATAGCTTGATGTTGTCTTGGGAGTATAAACAGCACAGTGCAAGTTGAAATGTAGAAAAATGCCCCTTTATCCCTAACCTCAGGAAGGAAGTTATTTCATATGCTTGGTGAATTTGAAATATTGTGCGGCGATGCTTTCTGCAGCATACAAAACACCTTTTTGTCGAGAGAGCTTGATGTAATAAGAATCTTGTCTGTAAAATGGACCTTGGGATGTTGTTTCACAGTCTTTTGAATTTGTTTTCATTTTGCTCTGAAAAAATGAAGGCAAAGCAAAAGCAAGTCATTCTCAGCCCATGCAATCGTGTCAGATCCATCTCTAATATTCTCTGTATAATGGAGAGTATTTATGCACATACCTATTATGCATTATGCTTCATCTACTCCATGTGGCATTCATTTGTAGTTAAATGACATTGCAGTGCAGTGAAAGAGACTCTAGCAGGCAAAAAGACATAAGATTTTTACAATTGACCAGATATGGCCTTAAAAGAAAGTGATTTGCATGTTATGTGCGAGAATTTGACATTTCAAATTCTTTTCAGTTAATAAAAGCCCAGTTGAGGATTGCTGACTGACAGGCGGCAAGCTATGACAACTATTTGATTTGGGACTAAATTAGCAAGCTTGTTTTGTTGGTGTGGAAGTGAAGAGATTTACTGTACCCTGAGTTGTAACATGTTGGACCCAGCTGAAATCTTCTTTCAGTGATGGCCGTTGGACAGCTGCAACCTTTTGTAGAGATAGTGTGATTCTTCTCTATGTATGACGCTTCTGTAAGGATCTTCACCTTTGTCAGTACTTTCTACAAAAATACAAGGCAAATTTCTGTATTTATTAATATATTATAATTTATAATATAGATTAAAATATTTGTAAAGTATAATGTATAATATATGATAATGAAGAGATTAATTAAGACCCTATTAGATGAACACTCATTTCAGAATTATAGAAATGTTACTGATTATTATATTTTATACCAACTGTTAAGTTAGTTTATAAATAAAATTTAAATGAGCTCACAATCAGTATACCATTGATGGTGATGACATGTTTGACACTTGCAAGTACTTTGGCAGCACAGAGTTTGACCTACTGGAGACATGTTGCCTTCTCACTCTTCTCCCAGGAAGACATGTGTCAATGTGTGTGTCAGGACCGCAGCTCAAATCTTGACCTTAGTCATCTCTTCCTCTCATTTCTTTTAAAACTGTGACTAGACCTGTCTGTCTAGCACTAACTATATATTTTTTTCTATTTTCTATTTTCTTTTCCAGTTCAGTTGACTTAAAATAAATCCCCAGCAATGCTCGTGGAGAAAAAAAAAGATTTAAATTTATAACCTGGGATCAAACATATTTTTTCCAGTATGTGGTATACGTCATTACATCATTTATTATGAGCAGAGCTTGTGGCTTAAGAGCAACCAAGATTGGTTATTTTATTCCTGTAATAATATTAATGGTTATGAAGGGTCATAATGTTATCAATAAAATCGCGTTCTCTGCCATTGGTATTTGGTGATGTTATGGGGCACTTGGGTCTGATTAAAGAGCCAGTGAGCAGCAAATTGGCCCTGGAATTGATATGTATATATTCTGATGGTAGAAATCTAAGCTATTGATTTAGCTGCCAGCTCAGTTGTTGATCTGGGAAGAGAGGGACACCTCTCCATGATCACTCAACCAAATTTGCAGCCCCTGCATTTTATTTTTCCTTCACTTGCAATTGCAGATATGCTAATGAAAAGAAAAAGACAAACACTTACAAGGGCGAGACCTGAACTGCAGCATGAGCACATGTCAAATACCCACTTACTGTAATGTCTTCGTCAGGCAGCAGTGACCAGAGCATGTGAGCAAGCTTACAGAGCCATCAGGGTTCAAGAGTTTAAGAAGAATCTAGAAAATGGGTTTGAACAATATTGTGGAAGGGAAATACACATAATCGAAAGCACTCTGCATTTCAGTCGTGAATTGGTCTGACAATAAAATTTCAGAATGCCATTGCTCTTGTGAAAATGGAAGTGGCGTGCTGTTAAGGTAGTTTTATAGCTACTGTACCTTAAAAAAGCAGAGGTTTAAGAAAATGCAGCATGGCGGCAGTCTTAAAAAGCAAATGTGAATAGAATGAAAGTAAAATGTGATTGCTATCTGCATCTGGAACAGTGAAACTTCCCCAGCAGGTGACAACCTTTGTGTTGCCACCACAAGAGGAACTTCAGAACATGGTAGAGACTGCTGTCAGATCATTTTTTATAGCTCTGCTCTTCCGCAGCTTACAAAGAGAGGAGAGCTTTAGAAAAGCTTTGTTCTTTATAGCCCTGCATTGATTTCAAACAGCAAGTTAGGGATGTGCTTTAGGCTTTTTAAAAATATATACTGTAGGTAGTGTTTCTTTCCCTTTCCTCAAGGTTCTGACTTACCCCTGAAATACTACAGTATGTATTTGCAAAATACAGAATTTAATTACGTCTAAATTACGTCTGAGACCGTGAAGGTAGTAGAATGTTTTTTTTTAAAGTACTATGGTTTATTCATTTGGCTTATGCAAGGCAAGGTAGTGGGATTATTGATGCAGATGGAGCTTAGTTTTTTTGCTCCTCTGTAAAACTACAGTAATCTAGTAACAAATGGCCTAACTCACTAGCGCAGAACTGGCTCATTGCTGATGGCAGTGTTTACAAAGAGAATTACACCGTTGGTTTTAAGCATTGTTAGACGCTCGCTCATCCTGTTAACAGCTGTGCTATGCGAAACTAAAGCAGCATGGTCTATCTTATTTCCTTCAGCCAGATAATATGCACTGGAATCCCTTCTGCTCTGGTTTACTGGACTGTTCTACCCAGACCAGATAAAAGCAGCTCATGTAATGAGGCCTGCGCTTGCACAAATGTACACACGTCCTGTAGTATTTACTTACTTTATTGGGAAAATTGCTTTGCAGGCAGGTTAAAGACACAGTACAATGCACAATAATTTCAACACAGTATGAACCCATCAACAAATAAGAGACATGCTTGTATGATGTGAAAAAAAATAAAGAAATACACATAAAGTGAAATATACAGCCAATAGTCCAAATTGAGCAGGTGTGGGAATAAAAGACAACTAATTTCTATTACATTTGAATCTAGGTAGTCTATATCGACAGCCTGATGGAAGGAGCTAAGATTCACTGTGTAAGGGATGGTCATGATAGATTATATTGGCCTTCTGCACTGTTTGATGTCTGAAATCTGTAGTTCGTGCACACCAATAGCCAACCAAAGATGGCTATTAAGGTTATTAAGATTAGGTTATCGTATTAAGGTTACCAAACCATGCTACCACAGTGAATGCTAGGACAGATTCAATACATATTCTATAGAATAGAGACATTGGTGTAGTATACACACTAAAAGAGCTTAGATTTCTTATGAAGGACAATTGTGCTACTCCTTACATATGGCCCTACCATACTGCCCTTCCTGCAGGAAGCCCAGGTGCTCTGTTACTGTTAAGAGTGACTGTCATGGGTCTCCTCAGCAGTACACCTCTTCTCTTTCTTTTTCACAGATCTGGTCATTATTTTTGAAAGGGGTGAATCTGACCTAGATCGTTCTCACATAACCTAGGAGGCTTTTTTCGTCATCTTTCTCGTAACACACTGAGCACGG